CTTCCTTCCACTGAGTGGCTGATGGGTTTGAACCACCAACCTTCTGGTTAGCAGTCAAATGCTTTAGGCACTATGCCACAAGAGCTCCTTAATCTTATTACAGCTCATAAAATATATATGAAGACCACCCCCCTCCCACACACATACACAAAAAGAGAAAAGGTTAAAAATTCAGATGTCCTTGGCTAGTTTGGGAATGTTGAACATACAGAATTGGCCAGGCAGGCTGGGATTTGCTGCAGTATGTACACTTATGCCAGTATGCAAGTCTACAGACTTTTTATGATTCCATTCCAGATCTGGCCTGTGGGAGAATCCAACAGAGACAGATACAGCTAATACGGTATTATTCCTCTAATCCTTGGGTAAATTTTTTTCCCCACTAGGGAGAGAATTGAGTTTGGTCGGTCCTTTCTCAGGAATAAATCTGAAGAGCTACGCTGGCTACATCACCGTGAATGAGACTTACAACAGCAACTTATTCTTCTGGTTCTTTCCGGCTCAGGTAGGCCATGGCAGCACCACAGTAGGACACGACACTTGAGAGCTGACTATGCCCAAAATCTACAGTGCTTTAAAAAAACCTTGTAGATTTTATTTTCTAAAAATAATTACATGATGTTCCTGCTTAGGTGCAGGAAACAAATGTTTACAGGGGATAGAGGGGGACAACTTTCAAATTCCCTGCAGCCTCATTCAGACTATTAATGTTGTCACCATCTTCCTGCCAGTCTTCCTCCCATCTTTTTGTTGTTGTTCTAAAAATACTTGGGGCAAGGATGGAGGTGGAGAGTAGAAAGAGGATAAGGAGTGAATACAGTTAGCAGGTAATGCATGTGTTAAATGTAGTTGGTCATGTCTTCTGTGACTATCCTATCTGTGGATTTTGCTATGACAATTATTATTACTGCATTTGCTCACTCATGCCTTCACCACCACTTACTGAGCACATACTGTGCTGTGGGGACACATAGGAGAGGGCATCAGACTCAAACTCTGTGAGTCTTTGGGGAGAGATGGAGAGGATTGATGATCTAGGATGGCTTCCTGGAGTAGGATTCGTTTACCTTCTCAGGTCCATATAGACTTTATTTACATTTCTGAGTAAATGAGTCACTTTAAGCTCATGGATGCAATTAGGGTATTGTTAGAGGTGTTGAGATGTATAAATAAAATTTATCTCACATGGAGTAGTTTTCTATTTTTATTTTTCAAATTAAATTTGCTTTAGAAGCCAGAGAAAACCAAAGCAAAACAGCTATCCCTATGGAGGATGGGAGAGCTCTGGTAGCATATTGCCTAAGGCACTTGACTGCTAACCCGAAGGCTGGTGGTTCAAACCCAACAGCCACTCCTCAGAAGGAAGATGGGGCAATCTACTTCCATAGTGATACTGCCTCGGAAACCCAAGGAGGAGTCACTATCAGTCGAATCCAACTTGATGACCCATAACAACAACCATGGAGAATAGTATTTATATTTGCATGTGATCTGCACGGAGTTGTGTTGCATATATAATGACTGGATAAATTGTGTAACCCAGGGTAATGTTCAAGTTAAATTGCTTTTTTCTATTGGTATTGTTGGACTGTATTTTCTTGACTTTTCATTTCTGCTTCTATTTTCCCATCATGGGCTCTGATGTGGTTCACTCCAAAGCAAAGAGTGTTGGGGAGGCATGTGAGAAATAGCAAGGAATTCCAGGTACTTTGTGTTTGGGCTCATAGAAGTCTTCACACTCTCTCTCACCTGCTCTGGGAAGCCTTTTCTGAACCCCAGAGAGGATGACTTACTTCTTCCGCTGTGTTACTATTGAACAGGGTGAGGCAAGAGATGTGGCCACAGAACAAAATTTAAGGAGATGCTTACCTTCAGGGCTGTGCAAGAGCAGACTGGGCACCTGAGAGTGAGTTGCCGCCAAACTGTTGATGGCACCTCCATTTGTGGAACTCAAGTAAACACTAGAGGGTAAGGCCAGTCTGCTGATCTAGTATGTAGAGTTCTGTCTATCAGGACAGGATAGAGAAGAGTGGAGGGTGTATTTTCAGAAGCAAACAGGAAAATGCTCACAACAGCCTTAAGCAGAGCTGATATAAACTAAGCCTAGCAATATGACCTAAATCTAAGAGGTGGAAAGTTATCTTGTGTCCTCAGAAATGTTTTAAACATTATACCTTTCAGAAACCACACAATAAATGCATGTTTTTGATATCACACTATCACTAACGTTGACTACAGACATTAGCCCCTTTGTACTAATTTCCTATTGCTCTTGTAACAAATTACCTCAAACTTAAAGGCTTAAATCAATGCAAATTTATTATTTCTTCCACTGTTGGCTGCATATGTTATAATACACTTATTTTTTTCTGTAGTTCAAAAGTCTTACACAGGTCTCCACCAGCTAAAATCAAAGTTGGCTGGCCATATTCTTTTGGGTAGGAGCTCTGGTAGCATAGCGCCTAAGGCACTTGACTGCTAACCAGAAGGCTGGCAGTACAAACCCACCAGCCACTCCTCGGAAGGAAGGTTGGGCAATCTACTTCAGTAGTGATACTGCCTCGGAAACCCAAGGAGGGGTTGCTATGAGTCGGGTCTGACTCCATGGCACATAACAACAACAATGTTCTTTCTGGAGGCTCTAGAGGAGAATAATTTTCTTGACTTGTCCAGCTTCCAGAGGCCACTCACATTCCTTGGCTCATGGCCTTCTCCCTCTGTCTTCAAAGATAGCAGTGACAAGTTGAGTCCTTCTCATATTGCACTGCTCTGATTGGCTTCATCACCATATTGTCTCTGATTCTGCCTTCTGTCTCCTCTTTGACTTTTATGAACCCTGTGATTATAGTGAGCCTAAACAGATAATATAGGATCGTCTCCCCATTTTAAGGTCAGCTGATTAGCAACCTTAATTCCACTTGCAACCTTAATTCCCATTTGTCATGTAATATAACATATTCACAGGTTCTGGGGATTAGAACACAGGCATCTTTGGGAGGCTCTGATTCTGCCTGCCATACTTTTGGTAACCTGTAGTTTGCCCAAAATGGATACCTGAAGAGCTTGGCTAGATTAGTTTTCTCGGTAAGTTCTCTTTCAGTGAGTCTCCCCTTTTATTGTTTGTAAGAATGATCTGTGACTTTCTGCAGGTACTCTGATTCCCTAAACTGGGAGAGGCCAGCAAACTGCAGAATTACCAGACAGACCGTGCTTGAGAAACCATTGCTCCAGTCTACGGCCACTGCCCTGTGCCCAGTGCCTCTGACCCAAAAGTGACCCACACTCCTTTACCAGAAAGAAATGCCTAAAGCAGCCAGACTAAGATGGAGATGGTGTGCTAACCTGTGTACTCATGTGGGTGATAGCTAGAGTAACGGGACTGGAAAAGCAAGTGGAGGCTTACAAGGATCAGCTTTCCTCTAACGCCTGTTAGGGTCAGCTTCCAAATCCTCCCAGTCTTCCTCACACTCTCTGCCTCCCCCACCCCAACCCCAACAAACCTGACTTCTTACTTTCCCTTCTGTTTTTCTAACTGTATATGATACCACTAAGTTCCTTCTTGACTTCTGAATATAATTCTTTAGTAAATAATCCAGATATGTAAAAATAGGAATTAGTTATGTGAGAAGCGCTCAGACAAAAACAAAACCAAACCCCGTATTTTTTTGTTCTTTCGTGGGTTGCCGATGAGCATGGCTTTGTCTAGAATGTAGGTGATGGGCTGGGCCTGGATAGTTGTCCATGGAAATGGATTTGGGCTGTGTACTAAGGTCTAAAACCAAAGAAAAACCTGTTGCCCTTGATTCTATTCTGACTCATGGTGACCTCATGTGTGTCAGAGTAGAACCGAGCTCCGTAGGATTTTCTTAGCTTTGATCTTTGTTCTGGTTACCTAGTGCCACTCTGGCAAGAATATACCACAAATGGGATGACCTTAACAAATGAGTTTATTCTCTTACAGTTTGGAGGCTTTAAGTCTAAGTTCAAAGTGCCAGGCTCTAGAGGCTGGGTGGAAGCCCCTCAACCTTGGAGTCCAGCTCTGCCTCCAGCTCCCGGCCCACTGGAGCTAAAGACGTTTCTTCACTCAGACAGCTGCTGGCTGCTGAGGCTGAGAAACCCAAGGTTGACAAGGAAAAGGGCACAGTCCCGATGTTACCAAACCACATGGCAGGCCATTAATTTAAGTGCATTGTAAGTCCCAAGGTCGGTAGAGCATGGCAGGCTGCTGAACAACATGGCTACATGCGGGATCCAAGCATGCCATAAACTAGAGACCATTCTCCAAGGCTTCTGCTTATATACAGGAGATTCCACCATGGAGGTGATTACCAGTCTCAACATGGGCAATACTACATCCAACTTCCCAGCCACTCAACCAGGCCTAGCCAAGGTGACACACAACCTGAACTACCACAGTCTTAATGGCAGTAGATCTTCAGACTTTTCTTCTATGGTGCCACGGGATAGATCCAAACAGCCAACCTTCAGTTAGCAGCAGAGTGCAAACCTGTTTGCACCACCCAGGAACCTCAAGGTCTGAAATCCCAGCATGAAACAATAACTGGGCTGTTGGTGGTTTTTTTGTTTTGTTTATTTATCCCTTAATTAAATGAAATGCTAGCTGTGGATCCCTGAAAGATTATGTTTGTTTGGGCCTAGTACTATAGCCATAAACACATTCTAGGGATGATCCCAGAAGACATAAACACAAGGCCACAAAACCAGGAGAGGAGATTATTATCATGAAATGTTCTACTGGAAGTGAAAGACAAAGCTCCAGGAGAGAGAAAGGCAGAGATGAAAAGGACAATACCGGCAGAAGGTGTCAGCACATGGCAGCTGGGAGATTGTTCAGGATCTCCTCATGGGAAGCCCACACACAGAGCCGTATCTGATGCTCAGAGCCACCACTCCTGCCAAGCCCTCAGAGCCACCACTCCTGCCAAGCCCGTAAGGCTGTAAATTATGGAACGTGGCCAGTGTGGGTGAAAGAGATAAAGGATATGAAAAGGAGAAGCAGCGGTCACTGAGGTGGGGACCGTCACTTTCATTTGGCAGAAATACTAATTCACTACCTGTCCCAGGGAAGCTGATATGTCATCTGGAGAGAAATGAGTCCTTTAAAAAACTGAAGGTAGAGAAAAGAGGAGCTCCAAGAAGCATGCTATGCTTGTAATATCCTCCGAGTATTTTTTGGGGAGGTTGTTTCTCAAATCAGTTTTGTTTTCCTGTTATTTCTGTGAGGCTCTCTTGTTATTGTGTACACATCAGTACATAATGGATTCCAGAACTTGAAATTGGTATGCAGTGAGGATATAATCTGCAAGAGAAATGAATAGGCAGTTTACATGGGATAAAAAGTATAATGACACCAATAAAAATGTAAAAATTATAACAGCTATTGTTAATTGAACATTGACTATGACCTGAGTACTCTGTGTTTTTCTTATTTACTTCTTACAATACCCCATGAGGAAGTCATTATAATCTTCATTTTACAGAGAA